CCTGGGCCTCCCAGGTCACACCCCCGCAGCGGCTGCCCCCCCCCATCCCCCTCCCTCTCAGCCTCCTAGGTGGGGGCCGGCCGGGGCGCCGCCAGAGCCCAGGCCGCCCCCGGCATCAGCACGGCCAGGGCCTTGGGCCCCGCCGCGTGGAACTTCTCGTGCCGGTGCGGGTTGGAGCGCCGGCTGAAGCTCTTGCGGCAGAGGGGGCAGCAGCAGGGCCGGACGCGGCGGTGGGTGCGCTGGTGGGCGGTGAGGTGCGAGCTGTGGCTGAAGCTCTTGCTGCACTCGGGGCACGGGTAGGGCTTGACCCTGGTGTGGGTGCGCTGGTGCGCTGTGTGACCTCGAGGGCCACCTTGGGAGGTGGAAGGTCCCAATCCTCCGTGCGCAGCGATAACCAGGTAATACAGCACTTTCCATTTGCCGAGCACCGTTCCAGCATTTTCCCTGTATTAATTCATTTACTCCTCCATCACTTCCCTGTGAGTAGGAACTATTATTATCCCCACTTTACAAATGAAGAGCCTGGTGACTTGCAGCCAGTAAACGGCAGAGCTGGGCTCTGAATTCAAGCCAGTGTAGCCTGCGAGCCCACATCCCTCATCATGGCACTCTGCTGCTTCTGCAAAACAGCGCCAAGAAATCCACTTAGTCCTGGCTGCTGTGGGAGACCAAATAAGGTGAAGGACTTTCATTTACTAAAATAAAGAGATAATTTAGCAAAGCTGCAGTGATGGTTAGGATGATGATGATGGTGATGATGACAGAGATGACGGTGATGTGATGAGGGTGATGCTGTGATGATGGTAGCAATGGTGATGATGATGGTGGTGGTGATGCTGTCCCTCAGGACCCCTTTCCTGTCCCTTGGGGCCATATCTCAGAGCAGAAGTCTGACTGTGTCTAGAAGCCAGAGGACAGGGAAGGCCTGTGCAGTGAGAGAGAGATTTTTTTTTTTTTCTTTTTTCTTTTTTTGCGGTACGCGGGCCTCTTACTGCTGCAGCCTCTCCTGTTGCGGAGCACAGGCTCCAGACGCGCAGGCCCAGCGGCCACGGCTCACGGGCCCAGCTGCTCCGCGGCATGTGGGATCCTCCCGAACCAGGGCATGAACCCGTGTCCCCTGCATCGGCAGGCGGACTCTCAACCACTGCGCCACCAGGGAAGCCCTGAGAGAGAGTTTTTCACAAAACAGAGACAATATGATTCCAAAAGTTCCCCTTTCTCTTATAAAACAATTATGGTAGTGGAAGGGAATCCATTGTTTTTAAGGCCAGATTAATAACTTGTTAAATCCCGTGTTTGTCTCCACCCTTCCCTCTTTTGTTTAACATTTTCTTGGTCCATGAAATCGCAAAGTCTGGGAACCACTGGCTAACTGACCTAGAAAGGGTCCCTTTCTGAAACATTTGTTTCCTCTGGCAAAGATGTGGACAGGTACACACAACACACACACACAACACACAACACACACACACACACACACACACACGTTGAGTACGCTCTCTGCTCCTTCGATCTGGAACCTCTGACCTCAGCCAAGGGCCTGCACCAGCCAGCTCTCAGGGCCCAGTGGTTCCCTGGGCAACAAACACAGAGCTGCCACGTGGGGCATAAACAACAGGCAATTAAGAGAAATAATAACAATTAACAGCCCATCCCCACGGTCATTCAGTGGCTTCACGAGCTGCTCTGCTTAACCCTACAAACAGGTTCCAATCCCACTTAACCCTCCCGGGCCCAGCCCTTATGTGGGTTCCACACGGATGTCACAGGGCTGGCCTGGCCAGATGCACTGCCTGGCCCACATGCTCCCCCCCTGCACAGTGATCTGACTGCTGGGGCCCTCAGCCCAGCCCGTGGAAAGTCAGCATCTGTTAGCTTTATCCTCACCCCACCCCCAGGATCCTGAGCCCCAGAGAACAGAGCTGAGGCCCCACCCCATCTGAGCAGCCTTCTAATCCCTGCATTTGGGGCACAGGGCCTGACCTTCAGGTGGACTTGATAAATGGTAACTAGATTTGAACATGTACACAATGCAAGATGACAGGGAGGAGGGGAACAGGGACACGGAACACCTGGGTACGTTGGGTCTGGCCGCCAGGCACAGGGGATGTGCATGCAGCTCGGCTGGACCAGTGCCCTCAGGCCACTCTGCCAGTGTGCAGTGTATTTCTGTTTGCTGATTTGCAATGGACTCTTGAGATTGGCTCAGCAAGCTCTGACATTGGGTGTCTGCCAGGAGTTAAACGCCAGAGGTGATACAGAGAGAAATAAGGCCAAATCCCCACCTTTGAGCCCCGTAGAGAGCACGGAGACTCGGGTCCTCTCCGAGGGTCCCTTGGTGCGGCCTGCTGGTTCTGAGCCTGGGCCCTGGAGCCCACCTGCCCGCCGGGGGCCCACCCTGCCCCTACTGTTTAGCAGGATGTGCCTTTGCATCGGCAGTGTTCGCAGACACCATCCGTAAAATGGGTCCAACCGTCGTGCTTCCCTCGCTGGGCTGCTGTGACCAGCAAGTGGGAGTGGATCGGCCCAGATGGCCACAAATTGTGGCCCAGGGGAAGGACTCAAGAAATGTTAGTGAGGACGAAGATGTTATTGACCCAGGTTCTTGGACTCTTTAATCAATAGAAATTGATGAGGCCAGACGAGAAATTCAGACAAAGCTTTACTGGGACTCATGCTGCAGCGTAGGAAGAGAGAACAAGAAACCCCGAACCCCAAGCGGCGGGGGGCGAGCTGGCTTCTTAAATGGGGTGAGGGCGGGGCAGATCGGTGGGCCGAGCCAGAGGAGGGGCTTAGGTGGTCTGCCCACCCCCTTGGTGGTGCCATGTGCAGGGCTCATGCACAGTACCCTGCTTTTTCTCCCTGTACCTCAGAAGTGGCAGTTGGGCTTTTGGGTCTTTTTGCATCTTGTTGTTCATAATTTGCCCCAACTGTGCATGTGAGTGTTTATTTTTATTTATTTATTTACTATTTTAAGTTTTTAAACATCCACCCCTCCCCTGGTCACAGTGACATTTTTTTAATTTAAATTTTATTTTTTTTGGCTGTGCAGTATGTGGGATCTTAGTTTCCCGGCCAGGGATTGAACCCACGCCCCTTGCATTGGGAGCGCGGATTTATTTTTAGTCCCTTAGAGGTTCTTTGTATCTGTTGCTTCGTATCTGTTGCTGAGGAGACGTTTGTCCAGGGGCAAACACTCCGGTGAGGGGGTCCCAGGTCCCAGCCTGTCTCAAAGACAGTGATGACACAGCAGAGACACGCCAAGCAGAGGCGAGTGCCTCACTCCACAACGAGGACACCAAGGTCCTGCAGAGGGATTGGAAGGGTGGCGTGAAATGGAGCAAAAGCAGAGGGGCCACACTTGGCTGGACTTGGCAGGACCTGCAGAGTGACACACGCACCCTCTCCCTGGGGGCCGTGACAGACATATGAGAGAGTATAGGAGCAGAACTTGGAACAGGGCCTGGTACCCAGTCAGCACTCAATTAGTGTCAGGGACCGAGATGGTGACGAAGATGTTGTCACCGTTCAGGGGATGGTAACTTTCGTATTGTTGGGGCCTCGGGTGGAGTGATGGGAAAGGGGCAGAGAGGCAGGGGGAGCTGAGTCACTGAGAACCCGGCCGCAGGTCCTTTAAGACATCACTAGCTGCTGTTAACAAGCAAATCCCTGGAGTGTAGCACAAGGCAATACAATTTTGTTGCTTCTTTTAAGAGCTAATGCACAGAGACCCAGGCTTTTGCCAGGAATCCCTGATGATCCCATCATCCTGTCGAGCCTGGGAGTCCTAGCTTTGAGCTGGGAGACGCAGCAAGAGAGGTTAGCGAGAGCTCCCTGGCCTCCATAGAAGCCAAGCTTGGAAGGGACACACGCATGCACGCACGCACACACACACGCGTGCGTCCTATTGGTGGGAGCTGGTCACGTGGCCACACCTGGCTGCAAGGGGTGCTGGGAAATGTAGTCCTGGGCTGGACAGCTGCTCCTCCCAGCACCCCCAAGGCAACACCACGCCATGTAGAAGGGGAGCGTGTGTTTTTGCTGCACAGGCTGCCTCTGGGCATGAAAGGAGCCAAGAGGTATCAGTGCGACCCTTCTCAGAGCCCTTGCATGTGTTCACTTTTCAGCCGAAAACGTGCATTTGGGTTTGAGTAAAATCACGTTCACCTTGGAAGGTGGTGTCAAGGAGACTGACGGCAGAGAGGGTCACAGGGTCCCTCAAAATGAGAGTTTGAGCCATTTTTCCTGAAGCCAATCACATAATTTCTCTGTATTGTTTCCAGGGTTTGGGAAAGAGAGTGCCCAGGAGATTTTATTTGGGGGAAAATACCTAAACAGTAAATCATAAGCTGCTGTATTTCTTGCATTTGTGTTGTTGTGGGTTTTTTTCCCTCCAGCTCTGAGCTATCGATTAAGTCTAATTACATCATTCATATAATTTCCCGTGAGATTTAAGTCGAAATTTGCTGAGTAAGGAAAGTAAGCAGGGGACTTAATTAGGAACTTAATCAAGTTTTTTTGTTTGTTTCTAGGAGAAAGTAACTATAATCAGGAAAAATAACAATAAACATTTCCTTTCTCCCAAAGCAGTCATCCGCGGGTTCTCGGAGTTGCTAGATGGTTCGGCAGCATCACCTGAGAGTACCACTGTCGCGGATTCTGTGTGCTGAGTGGACCCGCTGCTGTTCTGGCCGGAACCTCCAGAGCCCTGTCTTCTTTGCAGAGAGCATCCTGCACCAGCCAGGGACGCTGGGACTTGCCTCCATTTGGGAATGGAGCTCATGACTCTCCAGTAGTCAGCCTTGAGGTTCATCTGCGTCCCCCCGAGTTTGCAAAGTTAGGCCACAGACCAAGGCCGCGTCTTCCTCCCAGATCTTTCCGCAGGAGAGCGGGTCGCATGCTTCGTAGGTCAGATAAATGAGGGGCCCGGCCGGCCTCGCGTGGTTTCAACATTCGGGGACCGTGACTTTCTAAACAATGTCTCTCTTCCCTCTCTGCAGAAACTCGTGCAGACCGCAGCAAGAAACTCTTCCGCCACTACACGGTCGGCTCTTATGACAGCTTTGATGCTTCCAGGTAAGGCGTGATTCTTTCTCTGCCAGGCCCGCTCCGGTCAAAGATGCTCGTAGGTGTCCTGAAAGCGCTGGACCACCTTGCATGGAGCACTTGGAACCCCTTGGCTTGCTTCCCGCTATGGGTCCCCGTCACCCACCGCCCAGACGTGGGCTGGGATGATGGAGACCACCGTCTTCCAGAGGACCCGCCCGAGAGGTGGGCTCTGTGCCGCCTGCAGTTTGGGGTCGGGCTGGAGTGCACTTGTGGGATGGCCAAGGGAGAGAGCTGTCTTTCAAGGAGGAGGAAACCTGGCGTTGTCTGGGGGGAAAGCAGTACAAATGGTAAAGATGACAGTGCTTGGCGGCCATAGGAGCCTTGAGGCAGCACCAACGTATCAGCATCCCCCCCCGGGGGGTGGGGGGCAGAATATGAGGATGCCTCTGGGTTTCCCCTCCTCCAGCCCCCTACAGCCACCAATCTGCTTTCTGTCACTAAGGATTTGCCTGTTCTAGACTTTTCCCAGAAATGGAATCCTACAGTATGTAATCTTCCGTGAATGGCTTCTTTACCTAGAAGAATATTCTCAGGGTTCATCCATGCTGTAGCGTGTATCATTCCTTCATCCCTTTTGTTCCCTAATTTTTTACTGTGGTAAAATATAAATAACATGCAGTGTGCTGTCTTAACCATTTTGGAGTGTACAGCTCAGTGGCGTTAAGTACATTCACATTCTTGTGCAACCATCACACCATCCATTTCCAGAACACTTTCCATCTTGCCAAACTGAAACTCCATCCCCATGAAACACTCACTCCCCTTCCCCTCCCCCAGCCCCTGGCGCCCACCATCCTACTGTCTGTCTTCATGAATTTGACTACTCTAGGAACCTGGTATGAGTGGAATCATACAGTATTTGTCCTTTTGTGTCTGGCTTCTTTCACTGAGCATCATGTCCTCAAAGTTCCTCCCTGTTGGACCAGGTGTCACAGTGTCCTTCCTTTTTGAGGCTGAATAATATTCCTTTGTATGGATGGACCACATTTTGTGTCTCCATTCACCCGTGGATGGACGCTTGAGGTGCTCCTACCTTCTGGCTGTTGTAAATATGTGGCTGTGGACATTTGTGTACAGATACTTTTTTGAACACCTGTTTCCAGTTCTTTGGGGTGTATACTTAGGAGTGGAACTGCTGGTCACCTGGTTTTAGCGTCGACCCGTCCCAACCACCTTTCTCTTATAAACAAGATGCGCTATAACAGAAATGCCATTCCCAGCAGAGTAGCCAGTCCCCTCTTCCGGGGGGCTTTGCAGACTCTCCAGGTCTTGCTAAGATTGTCCACTTTTTTACCTTAAAAGCCCAGGTTGTGATCGTTGGCCTGGCCACCAGCGCAGCCCCGAGAGAGCATTCAGAGGCTGATGGCTTCCAGGGAGTTACACCCACCCCTGGCTTCTGCTGATGAGTCTTTATCTGGGTCAGATGAGTTGTTTTTGCCTTAGCTGGAGGCCGTCTGTGAAAGTGGACCCTGGGCCCATGGTCACGGTCAGCATGCTGTCACTCTTTGCTTCCGTTCTAGCAGGGAGGGCGTCTGAGTCTCCGAGAAGCCCAAGAGCTGTTGCCATGGTGACTTGGAGGGCTGTCCAGGCTGGGAGTGGGGCTTTGAGGGAAAGAGGGCC